CTCCTCTAGAGAGATCAGTCACGAATCGACTGGGTGGAATCTTTTTCTCTCTAATTTCGGTCTCAGTCAGCTTGTGAATTTTCAGTAATGGGTAACCATACGGAATATCGGGCTTGACTAGATCTGAAGTGCTCTGTGAAAGAGTGTCCCGATCAGACTTCTGAATCAAACCAACCACACACTTAGACTGTTCACCACTTACATACTTCCGCTCCAAACCAGATGACCACAGCTCTAACAACCTCCCTCTCAAAGATCCAGTAGGATCAGTTTGCAAAGGTCTGTATCTCAAAGGGTCCTCAACTTTGGCAGAAGTGATATCCTTGATTATCTGAGGGGTGACAATGATTATCGCACCGCCCTTATCAGCCGATGTTATGGCTATTAAGCCATCCTTGACAGCCTTCTTCAACCACATATACCCTTCACTCTCATAGCGGTTCATATTAGATTCAAGTTTTCTGGGCTTGAAGTTGTCTACAAAATTGACAATGTTGTCTTTTGCAGACTTGATGGCTGGGTCTTCAAAAGAAGTACAAGGAGCTGTTACTGGTTTCTTCAGTAGCTCCATAGGAACTTCGTTATCCCGTGCTGAGTTCTTAAAAACAGCTTTCCATGCTTGTTTGTTGGCAGCATTGTACCCGGCCCATCTACTTTGAACTGCATCTCATCAAAATCCGGGCAGGGTATCCATCCAGGACCATACGAAAGGACCGCAATGCTATAATCCGGAATATCAATGTCTGTCAGGTTAACAACAAGATTTCTCTCAAGAGCTTCCTTGGCTTTCTTCCTCATTGCCTGCTCTTTCTTCCTGTTCTTCCTGGCTTTTGCTTTGAGCTTTCTCTTGAGCTTCTTAGCTGTGACCTTCCTTGTAAACTGATTCACTGAAACTGCTACTACCTTCTTCTTAGGCTTCCATTCTGAAAATTTAGTGCCATCACACTCCTCTAAAAATTTCATCTTCTTTAAAAGCTTCTTCTGTTGGATGTGAAGCAGCTTGCTATCTTTGATAAGTTCAGGAGAGTCAGGATGATCTCTCTGAATATCAGCAATCTGTTTCTTCAAGATGTTAATCTGCCTTGACTTGTTCTCGATAGCACGGAGGGTTGCTTTTGTTTCCACCTCCTGGAGGAGCGCACGAGCCTGTTCCTCAGGGAGAGCTTTCAAGCCACTGGCCCTTAAGGATTGGACAGGGCGCTTGGTCAACAGGCATTTCCGCAGAAGACTTAAACGATTGATTTCCAGATCATGAAAAGTGACCAAGTCATAAACATGTACTTAATTATGGTATCTCGGGCTAAAAAGTCTTATAGACATTAATTGCAGCACAGTAAAACGTTCAACATGAACACATTCGGATAACATTTATGGAGCAGCACATACCACCTAACTTAAATTTTGGTATAACTGCGAAAATACTCAGTTTCAGAAGCTCCTTCCAGCTATCTTAGGCTGCCTTCAGCTCCCTCTCTGGGGCTCTCTCCAGTACTGCTTGGCTATTATGGCCAATCAACTTGAATCCAACCTCATGTAACAGAATCTACTTCTAGCTACATTCTGCTAACTCCATGTCAACTCTACCAGCTACCACCACCAGTACGTTATAATTTTAGATCTTTCTAGCAACCTCTGATATGAATGCTACCTCTTCCTCTATCCAGCTACTATACCACCAGATGGCAGAAACCACCTGTTTTCACCTACTTCGGCTACCTCTATTTAGCTACCACCAAGGTTCCTCCAACTTCTGCTATTTCTAGCAACCTTAGCTTAGGCTAGTGGGCTACTTCTTGCCCTGTCTAGCAACCATCAGCAATATTTTATTCTGGCGTTTAGAGGTTGCTAGAAACAGCAAATTTCCTCTTCCTTAATGAGCTCGAAATTGTTGGATGCAGCAGAAGTAGCACTCATATCAGAGGTTGATAGAAAGATCTAAAATTATAACGTAATGGTGATGGTAGCTGGGTAGAGTTGACATTGAGTTAAAAGGATGTAGCTAGAAGTAGATTCTGTTACTTGAGGTTGGATTCAAGTTGATTAGCCATAATAGCCAAGCAGTACTGGAGAGAGCCCCAGAGAGGGAGCTGAAGGCAGCCTAAGATAGCTGGAAGGAGCTTCTGAAACTGAGTATTTTCGCAGTTATACCAAAATTAAAGTTAGGTGGTATGTGCTGCTCCATAAATGTTATCCGAATGTGTTCATGTTGAACGTTTTACTGTGTTGCAATTAATGTCTATAAGACTTTTTAGCCCGAGATACCATAATTAAGTACATGTTTATGACTACTATTTTATGATGCATGAAGGTTAAAACAGTTTTTAATGAGTTTTTAAAAACTAAGCACTATAGAGTATAGACCCTATGTTTCTTTACAGTTGCAGTTGGTATGTAAATGTGGCCATCGTAGTTACTTTGAGCTCAAAGAGAGGCCCCTACAACGTTCAGAAGCCGAGATAGAAAAGTCATATATTTGCGCCTGGAGGTAATTTAGGAGTTTTGCACCCTAGGGTTGAAACTACTAATAGAATTTGCGTACCTTATCATTTCTGATTCAGAATGACCTTACAAAGGATCCTGTGTTTAGAAACGTTGCAGACACTGAACTTCATACTCGATTTCACTTAACTTCTAAGAGTCGAAATTTTTACTCACGCCCCAAGTGAAAATCGGTTTTACTGAATTTTTCCAAAAAATAAGCATTTTGGGCCTTCATGACCCTCATAGTGCCAATATAAACATGTACATTGCGGTTATTTTAAGCCCACTTTTGAGTCTCTATAAGTCCTTCAGAAGCTGAGATACAAATTTCCCATATTCGCACATAATATGAAATATGGGCGTGGCTCCACAGGGTTAAAACTACTAAAAGAATTTGCTTACTTTACCAATTCCGATTTAGAATGACCTAGCAGAGGATCCTGTGTTTAGAAATGTTGTAGTCACTGAACTGCTTACTCGACACAGTGGGCTGGGATGCTAGCATAGGCCAAAAATTGGCTTTTTCCCCCTCTTTTCTAATTGATTTACCTTTTAAGATAAAAATAATCCTGATGCAATGCAAAAAACCAAAATGAAAAAGGATGAATGGTGTGAAAATGGCACCGCGCCTAAAATCTGTATTTTTTGGCAGTGAAAATTTTGTATTTGACTGCCAAAATTTACTCTTCTTTTATCCTTTCACCATAAAATGTCTTTGTATTAGTTTCCTGAGTTATTTATGAGTTAGTGATGATCCAAGCATCCTAGTTACTAGAAAAAAACCCTAAGGGTCTAGCTAATTTGCTGATTTTTTGATGGAGCGCCGATTTTAAACTAAATTTCAGCATTTTTTTTCTCTTAAAAAGGGCACAAATAGTTGCTAACTTCATAATACTTCAAATGGAAACCTACTTCATCTTAAAGCTGAGACAATTTTGGTTTAGAAGCTTTTGGAATCTGTCTGGGCCACTTTGGGTTATATCTGTTTAAAAAATTAAGAAACTAAAAAATGGGGTCAAATTTGCTGTATTTTTAGATAATTTATGAGCTCAATTTTGCTATTAAATTGACATTTCTTAGTTATTCTCCATGTTTGTGGCGTTTTTTGCATCCTAGACTAGAAGCATATGGATGAAAAATCAAAATAGTACAATTATTATAGTTAAAATTGATAAAAATCCAAAAAAATCGCGATTTTAAACGAAATTTTTGAAAATAACAGGAAAAATTTTGGTGTTTCAGAAAATTTTGGACATATAAATCGGCACAACTTTTGTTCTGATCAATATTTTTTCATAATTCAAAAAGATTTGAGTTCCTAAGATAGCTGTCCTTCGTTTACAGTTCATAGAAGAGCTTTAAAATTGATAAAACCTCTAAAAAACAACTTTTCCTGGGGTCAGCCTCTTATTTTTGGACTACAGGAGTGCTCAAAATCGGCCCAAAAATTTTTTCTAAGACATTTTGGGCCCTGTAAATGATTGGAATCGTATTTTTGTACCCAAATTACCTTAGAAACAAAGTTAGGGGCATGTGTGATGGTCTAAAATACCCTATGCTAGCATGACCCCCACTCACAGCCCACTGTGCTCGATTTTCACTTAATTTATAGGGTGTAAATTTTTTACTTGCGCCCAAGTGAAAATTGGTTTTCTGAATTTTTTCCAAAAATAAGCATTTTGGGCTTTCATGACCTTCATAGTACCAATATAAACATGTGCATTGCGGTCATTTTAAACCCAAGTTTAAGTCTCTAAGCCCTTCAGAAGCTGCACTGAGATAAATATTTCCCATATACGCACCTGGTATGAAATATGGGCGTGGCTCCACAGGGTTGGGACTAGCGACACAACATGCGGCCCTCGATTTTTTGAGTTACCAATGACCTATTTAACCCGATTCAGCAGCAAACAACTGTGGACATCGAAGTGCACACTCAACTCCTCCCTGCTACTGGAGTAAGATTGAAACTTGTTGAATTTATTTGTTTAAGTAAAACAAAATTTTTAAGTAAAACAAAATTTTTAAGTAAAACAAAATTTAAATTTTATTGCCATATTACAATGAATAATAATATCATAATAAACATAGTTAAAACTTGAACGATAATAAACTCATGAATATTAGATATGCTAATGAAATGTAAAATACGCTTTTTACTATGTACATAAATTTTAATCAGCTCAATTCAAAATTTAAGTAAAAGTTGTTGTCCTTGTTCCATTCCTCTGTTAATTTAATTCAAAGTCGAATTCTAATGAAATCTAATTAAACCCTGGAAAATCTCTAGAAAAGAGAGCAATTATAATGTTATAAGTTATTGGCGTGTACCCTTTAAAACATAAATTGATCAAAAATTATCGAAGTTGAGCTATAATGTTTATCAACTTATAGCAACTTAAACTGCTTTCATTTTAAAATCGTTCTATTCTTTGTGAAACACTACATGTTTCTCCTTTGATACTATCTCTCTTTCCGATTCAATAGAGCTGTCAATGTTTTATAATACATTAATAACTTATTCTTTTAGCTCGCTATGTCAGATTTTGATTCTGAGCTGGTTGTCATGAAAGAGGAGCCCGTGGCAGTGCCTGTGGCCGAGCCTGTGGTGGCACCTGTTCTTGAGCCTGTTGTTGCAGCGCCTGTTGTTGAAGCGCCTGTTGTTGAAGCGCCTGCAGTAGAGCCTGTTGTAGAGCCTGTTGCCGAACCTATGGCCGAGTCTGTTGTCGAGCCTGTTGCAGAGCCTGTGGTTGAGGCCCCAGTCGAGCCTGTCGCCGAAGTTGTTGAGGAGCCCATGGAGGAGGCCGCTGTTGAAGCCGCTGTTGAAGCCCCAGTAGAGCCTGTGGTTGAAGCCCCAGTTGAGCCTGTGGTTGAAGCCCCAGTTGAGCCTGTGGCTGAAGCCCCAGTTGAGCCTGTGGTTGAAGCCCCAGTTGAGCCTGTGGTTGAAGCCCCAGTCGAGCCTGTGGTTGAAGCCCCAGTCGAGCCTGTGGTTGAAGCTCCGGTCGAGCCTGTGGTTGAAGCCCCAGTCGAGCCTGTGGTTGAAGCCCCAGTTGAGCCTGTGGTTGAAGCCCCAGTTGAGCCTGTGGTTGAAGCCCCAGTTGAGCCTGTGGTTGAGCCTGTGGTAGAGCCCGTGGTGGAGCCTGTGGTGGAGCCCGAGGAGGAGCCCATGGAGGATTCATCTGGTAACTACTTTAGATTATTTAGGCTGGCCAAAAATTCACTGCCAAATAAGGCATAGGTTTTTCATTTTCAAAGCTTACAGCTAGCAGGATAAAGATGGCCACCTTGTTACTGTTAGCCTTAAATTCGTTATTCAACTTAAATTAGCAATTTTATCGTTGTACAGACTTTTAATTATTGGAAAAGTACTGACTTCCGCCTTAAGGTATTATAAAATTATAAATGATTTAAAAACAGGCATAAAAATCTTAAATATGTCGGGTTCAAAAGGTTTGAAATAACCGAATTTTTGTGTATTGAAAGAGACAGTAACTCCTTAATATGCTTATTTTTGCTGTTTAAATAGAGTATAGCTTTGCAAAGCTTTAGTGTAAGCTTTGTACCTTTTCACCTAGATATGCTCACGATTTTCTTCCCTAGATTCCGACTCAGTTGTCGTGGCAGAGGAGCCAGCAGTTGAGGTGCCAGCAGTTGAGGACATTGTTATGGAGGAAGTTATCGAAGCGCCAAAGGAAGTTATCAAAGCACCAAAGGAAGTTATCAAAGCTCAAAAGGAAGTTATCAAAGCGCCAAAGGCAGTTGTCAAAGCTTCAAAGGCAGTTGTCAAAGCACCAAAATCAAAAAAACCCGGTAATAATCGTTAAACATTAACCAAATAATGATGCATGATTTTTCCCGTCCCATGGCTTTTATGGCGAAGCCACTAAAAGACATTCCAGGGGTTACAGATCGAGGTGATGATTTTGTTGTGTTTTAAATCGTAACTAGTGTTTCTACTTGCATATTCATGTAAATCATGTTCTGCAAGGTTTATTACCACAGTACTTCATCGAAGTAAGTCCGTTACACTATAATAAGATAAGATATTATATGTACTGATAGTAATAACTCCAGCAATCCTAAATATTTGAACTATGTGAAGCGTGTTTTAAAAATGGTTATGAAGTGTGAAAGTTCGATTTGTGTTTAATCCCTTTAATGCACACTGTCAGATTTTCATCAAACTACTAAACATAATTAGCCCTTATTAAAAAATCGGTAAATATAGCGGTCATCCACACATTTATAATTGCGACTGCATTATTTGTTATGTAAGGTCTGTCGTCATTAATTGGACTTCAGGCGGCATGCTTTTTTAAAAAACTTGCCATTTAGTCTGACTTACCATTTTCATATGAATATGATACAACTAACACCGACAAAAAATTAAACAGACAATCTTCAAAATTATATTCGACTTAACCTCTCAGACTTTTAAAGAGATATTAATTAATCTCTATTTATATTATCTTCTTATATACTTTCGCTGTTTCTGGAGTTAAAAGGAGTCGAATTCTCATAGCGAAACTCTTAATAGCTCCACTCCTAATGCAATATATACAATAAAAATACTAATCATATGATAGAACCGCAACAGACTTCGGGAGTCTCCAAGTTGTAATCTGACGCAATGCAAACTTAGAAAGCAAAGAGGGATCTTCGCTGCAGCCAACTTCAAGAGGATGATAGTTCCCATTGTGGGAAAGTTGTCCAGTAGAACAAGTATCATTTATTTGAAAAGGTAGATAGAAGAGCCGCTTTTAATTTTCTGAAGAGCGCCGTTTGTTTTACAAACTTGATAATAGTACCTACCTAATGATAAGTAGCCAGTGAACTTCCCGAAAGGTCCGAAACGGGATATTCATGCGACCTATAGCCATGCACTGACTGTTCACCCGGCCAGTGTATGCAGTAGGGATTAGGGAAGTTGTTGATCAGGTACTCTAAATAAGCTAGTGGGTTATGTCCCATCTGATATATGGTTTCCTGTAAGCTTATTTGTCTTGTACCTGTATTTTTCTTTAGGTAGTGTGTTGGAGCTGTATTTAAAAAAAAAAACTTAAAATGATTCTGTTATAGTTCGTGAGATGTGTATTGTGTCGTACACGAATCTAGGAACTTCCTTCAGGATAGATGCAAAGATGCATGGTAGTTGCAGGAAGGGCTCTGGACCAGTTTGTGCTCGGTCTGAACCCTCCCTGACTAAACCATGGCTATTTTGTTGCCAGGAAGAGAGAAATATATATTTTTTGAGTGAAACTCAATTTCTTCACCAGCATCTACCACTACCCATGTGTATTGTGTAGAGCAGAGAGCTTGCACTGTTAGACTGTTGCTAGGGTTCTGTTGAAGAGGTCCTTTCTTTTTTAGGACACAGTATCCGAAATCCGGATATATCCTACCCTTGTTAATTCCCCTGTATTCAAATTTCCCCTATATTCAATTTCCCCCTGTTTATATAAATATATATTATATATATATATATATCTGTGCGTGTATCCTCCTTTAATTGTTGGAACTACAAAGCCGTTAGTCAACTACCCAGATTAATCCTGATTTTACGATATTAGCACTGCAAAGGTATCATCTGCTAAATTGCAATTGAGAAAAGAAATTCTTACATGCGTTGATGGCTGTAGCCCGTCAGTGATCCTTTATTGCAAAGGGAAAACCCCTTGTGAGTAATTTTGTTGTCATCCTATCCTCTATTATCGGCACCAGGTACAGCGCTAGTTGTCGCCATCCAGCGCTAGTTGTCGCGGCAGGTTATGAATTGCAGATTCTGTTGATAAGCCCTTTTTTGAAACCGTGCTGGTATTGAAACAGTTTCGGTTATCATTTCCCAATGATTCCTATAATATATTGTACTGTCCAGTGTCCGTATTTATTATTTATTTATTGTTATCCTCCGGCTTCAGAGTGAGCTAACTCCTAATTAGAGATTTCTTATCGGATGTCAAATCAGACCTCTTATTTCAGATGCATGTCTATATCAAAAAACCTCCTATCGAATAATATTTTGTTCTCGCAACAAAGATATGGATCCCAGATTCTGGAGGTTTTTTATTCTTTCAAAACCATATTGGTTTTATATACGAATTGGATATCATTATTATAGTATTCCTATAGATACTCTTTATCTTTATATATTGTCCTCCTCTGGCCATGGCCCAGAGTGAACTGACTGATAATTGAGAAACAGATTTCTTATTGAGTTTCAAGGTCCGAAACCTCTTATTTCAGATACTTTTTATTTATCATTAAAAACTTTTCCGATCCAAACAAGGTTATATATTACAGGTTCTGGTGATTAACTCTTTTACAAACCGTGCTGGTTTTTAAAATCATGTTTGTGACCATTGTAGTATTCCTATAGATACTCTTCATCTTTTACCTTTGTGTTGTTCTCCTCTTGCCCAAGAGTGTCTGCAGTACTCTAAAACTGAAAATTCTTACAGTGTCAAGGTCAGAAACCTAGGCACTCGAGACCTCTAGCTCTTATTTCAGATGCTTGTTCTATATCAAAGAAAACTTCTAGCGAATAATTTCTTGATCTCGCTAAAAAAGATTCTGTAGATTTTTCATTTTTTAAACCATATTGGTTTAATTTATATATGAGTTGGATATCATTATCATAGTATTTCTATAGATACTGTTCATCTGTATATATTGTCCTCCTCTGGCCATGGCCCAGAGTGAACTGACTGAGAAACAGTTTTCTTATCGAGTGCCAAGGTTAGAAACCTAGGCACTCGAGACCTCTTATTTGATACTTCAGATGCTTGTTCTGTCAAGGAAAACTTCTAGCGAATAATTTCTTGATCTTGCAACAATTATATATTATATAAATTCCAGAATCCAGATTCTGTAGATTTTTCATTTTTTTAAAACCATGTTGGTTTTATTTATATATTATATGAGCTGGATATCATTATTACAGTACTCCTGAAGAATGTAGATACTATTGTTCTCCTCTGGCCCCGAGTGAAATGAGCAGAGAATTCTTGCTGAGTGTCGAGGTCAGAAACCTATGCACTCGATACCTCTTATTTCAGACTAGATGCTTGTTCTATATATAATATATATCAAATTCATGGAAAACTCCTAGCGAGTTATTTCTGGTTTATCGAACAAGGACGTCCAGATTCCATTTTAAAACCGTACTGGTTTTAAAATAGAATAGGATATCATTATCAACAGTATTCCTACAAATGCTCTTAAATTTATTGTTCTGCTCTTGCCCCTGAGGGACCCCCAAACAGAAAATTCTTATTGAGTGTCAAGGTTAGAAACCTAGGCACTCCAGACCTCTCATTTCAGATTCTTCTACATATATATATATGTATCATATAAAACACCTATCGAGTATTTTTTGTTCTCCGGGAAAAGATATGAGTTACAGATTTGGTTGATTTTACCATTTTAAAAACCGTAAAGGTTTTGAAACAGAGCTAGTTATCGGGGTTATCATTGTATTATTCCTATATATACTCTTATCTTTATTTGTTATTCTCCTCTGGTCCTCTGAAACAGAGAATTCTTACTGTGTCAAGGTCAGAAACTTAGGCACTGAGACCTCTTATTTCAGATGCTTGTTCTATATCAAGGAAAACTCCTTGCGAATAATTTCTCGTTCTCAGAACAAGGATAAGACTAAGAGTTGCATATTCTGTAGATTTTTCATTTTTTAAACCATGTTGGTTTTATAAACGGGTTGAATATCATTATTATAATATTCCTATAGATACTCTTCAGCTGACTGTTAAGAAGTTTTCTTACCGATTGTCAAGGTCAGAGACCTGGGCACCATAGAAAAATATTCTTAGATCGGAATATTTGTTTGTTCCCCAAACAAGTTCCAGTTCAGTAGATTTTCAATTCCTAAAAAGCATGTTGTATATCATTATAATAATATTCTTGTTAATACCCTTGTTAATACCCTTGTCTCTTCATCTTTAAATGTATTGTTCTCCCCTGGCTCCAGAGTGAATTGACACTGAAACAGACATGTGTCAAGGTCTAGAATCTAGGCACTCGAGATATCCTACCTCAGATCATGCTTGTTCTATATCATGGAAAACTCCTAGCGAGTAAATTCTAGTTCGCCGAACAAGGAAATGAGTTGCAGATTCCATTTATTGACCTTTTTAAAACCGTGTTGGTTATAAAATCGTGTTTGTAATTGGTTAGTTTTTTGGAATTCCTATGATCATATTATACTCTTCATCTTTATCATTTAGTACATGATATTATTTTCCTCTGGACTGAGAGTGAACTGACTAATACTATCGAACAGAGAATTCTTACAGAGTGTCAAGGTTAGAAACCTAGGCATTAAGACCTCTCGTTTCAAACACGTATTTTGGGACAATGATTATTAATTTTCAATGGGAACAATTTAATCAATAATTTGAGAAATTCATTGGGTCGGGTATGATTCTACCCAGAATTATGTCGACCCAAGAATTTCAGAATTATTTATCAGTGAAAATTGAGTGCGTTGAAATATCTGCTCGTACGCATGATTGATTCTCTAGCATGATTGATTCTTTGCATGCATGGTTGATTATAACACACAGCATTTCAAAGCATGGTCGATCTTCACACACACTCATTAATCCTAGTGGTTGCCCACCACACAGTGCCAAGTGCTACCCTTTTTTACATTTTTTTCAGCAACCTGCTTACTGCTACTGGTCAAGTTCGGAGACAACCTGTACATTTTTTACTTTTTTAGAAGTGTGTGGTGGAGCCAGCTCAACACAGAATGAAACTCCCTGATTATATGGCTGACAAGACATTTTTCAGGA